GTTTTGCATTACCCTTCGGCCCAAATTTTTCAAAATTTCAATCTTTTTTACAAAAACAATTTACTTTATCATAAACAAAATAATGATATTTGATTCAAAATAATTATAATAATTATTATTATTATTTAATCAAAATATAAAGACATGCAAAAATTACTTGAGTCTAATTCAGAACGGTTCTCTTTATGAAACCTGATTTGGTTGAATCTACAAATTTCAGCACTATCCATCTCAGTAATATTACACAGTTAAATATCACAAAGTTTAACCAATTAAATATTAAATTTTAAAAGACTAAAAAATGTATAGTTAGCAAATTTTTTATTAAGTAAATTAATCTTATTAATATGACAATTTTATTCATCATTATAAGTTCTACTTATCTCTAAATTTTCATAAAAATCAGATAATTTTTTATTAAATGATTTTTATAAAATACATTTTGCATTAAAAGATTCTATTATAATACAAGTAAGTTTTTTACAAATGACCATTAATAAAAAATTATTTGATTTTTATAAAAATTTAGAGGTAAGTAGAATTTATCATGGCAAACAAAATTATCTTAATAATGAAGATCAATTTTCTTAATAAAAATAGCCGCTATTAACATACTACAATTAGGTTTATTAAAACTTAAAATTAAAATTTTGTTTATTTTATTTAAGTATCAATATCCTGTGATCCAGTGATCATAATTGGATAATTTTACTACCATTCGATTCGACTCATCGAATAGTAGTAAAATCATTTGATTCTGATCACTGGATCACATGATATCATGTGTGTATCATAATACCCTCTCTTACATTATATTTTGAAATATTACTATTTTTATATAGTTTGTTTTGGACAGTTTTGGACGGTTTTGGACATGACCAAAATTGTCCAATTAAAAAATTTAATTAGACATGTCCAATTCCCATCACTGAGTTAAGGTGTTGAGAAAGAATTTTATTAGATTTAGTAGATTTTGTGTTAGGTTTTTGTCCAGTAGCGACCATTGTTAGACCAACCACCTGCTAATACAAAATACAAATTTTCACTCACCTATACAAATATGGAAGCGGATAAACACTTGTGACAACATATTAAATTCAAACATTTACCATGAATTTTATCTTATGTTGTGGCATAACTACGTATAAACATAACTGCATAAAAAGATTCAATTAGCCAATGGTAACATATTATAAATTGCGTTACGGATCTCGGATAATTCGGAAATTAAAAAATTTGGATTATCTGGCATACAGATAATTTGGTTCTACCTTAAGAGTAACACATTATTATACAATGATAATAAAATACATTTCCAGTTGTACATATATACATACATACCGTATAGATTTTTTAACCAAAAAATGTCGCTTCTATCAATTTTAAGTTCTGGATTTTCCAATTTGATTTCTATTATACCGATATTACTGGTAGTATACGTATTACACTTTTACTATAACTACTTTACACGCCCAAATCCATTACCAGGTCCCATACCAATTCCTATAATTGGAACTTATCATAGAATAGGAACAACTCCTTATACATGGTATATTAAAAATACTGAAAAGGCAGGCACAATCTGGGAATTCTATATTGGTAATAAGCGACAAATAGTGGTCAATCATGCAAAATATCTTGAAAAGATTTATAAACCAAGTCCGAAATATTTTAGCCGAATGCATATTCCTTCCTTTG